CCCGTTCAGCCAACGAGGTCGGCCGTCGGTACCTGATATTTCCCCCATCTACCTGAGGCGTTGGAAACTACTTGGGCGGGAAATTTTTGCCTAATTTCGCTCAGAGGTCTCCTAGAGACATGAGGATCTTTTACGTGCTGTAAATCTACGACACGGGATCCACGGCTTAAAGTCCCTCCCGGAGGGCTTGTTCCCTGAATTTTTCCGCCCTTAAAAATTCCACGACTACGGAGGCCGCTAAATTCATCACTTAGTTCTACATTTATCTGTCACTGAGACACACAGACTTACACATTTCTCATCTCATACAATAAGTAACGCACGCCAGGAGATACAGGGAACTTTGCACTCACTTCCTCACAGTTCCTTAAGATCAGGTCTATGCAACTAAGTGTACACTGGACATTCACAATCAACATCAACTCTTCTACATTTCAGTGATTTCAGAAAATTGAAATTAAATCACGAGCGTGTTAAACGGCTGTTATTCTATAATGCGTCACAGACAGAGACATGCCGAATATCAGAGACAATTCTTACCTTTCCGTTGACATGCGAATGCCACTGCAGACGATATTTCATTAGCAGATGTAAACGAACTAATTGCAAAAATTTTCTCTCGGTCAGGAAAAGAGTGGATACAGCACAGAAAGGATGCTGTTATTATTCCAAATTTCAACCACATTTGTGCAGATTGCTTTCGTCAAGAAGAATAATTGAGACTGAAATGAACATTAGAGCTAAAAACTTAGAGGGCTAACACATAAGCAACAAATATACTGAGGCTAAACTTCGTTAGCGCCCAGAAGTGCAAGCCACTTTAAAAGCGAGTTGAAGCCTCTGGTTTATTACATATATTGAAAAACAATAACAAACATGTAATGCAAATAAATATTTCTAGCGATAATATATTTTAACTACTTTAACAGTTTTAAAATATTACGTATATTATTATGCGTTTGAGTTTGTAATTGTATTGATCTGTGCCTATGAATTAGCATATTTACATACGTTAATTTTACAGAACAGTTTCGAAGTTTCTTATTCCAATATTCCATACGTAAATTGCATTGTTATTTTATTTCCTTCTTTACTGATATTGAAGGTGTTAATCCGGTAGAGACTTATTTCTCACTAGCAGATTTTACGAGTATTGTGTGTTACAAGTTCGCGAAAGGAATTATATAACCCACAAATTGCAGATGCAAATTGTAACTTTAGTTAAATCGTAAACATCTGTGCTCTCTGTCTATTGCATGCAGGTAATTGCTTGTCAGCATTTGTTTTGTCAGTAATGTCGAATAGTGCTTTTTTCAAAAACTTGAGCCCTACATTTATTCATCTCCATTATTACGTCACGGTTGCCTCCAAAGTGTCTTGTTGCTTCGTGAAAATAACACTGAAAGATAAGGATGATATGCTGCTTACTTTATATTAACTGCCCCCATAGGGAACAGAGTACGGCAGACATTACACATTGTTACCTACATGTCCAAATATTCTATTTCCGTACATTACAACTGCAAATTTCTATAATAACCAGTTTAATGCTACACAGGATATGAGTCTAAACGACCCCATACACGTACGAGTCTGGCTCGCGAGTCCGACTCGGCTCGA